TCCTGCTCCCCTTCCTCTTCCTCCTGCTCCCCTTCCTCTTCCTCCTGCTCCCCTTCCTCTTCCTCCTCCTGCTCCCCTTCCTCTTCCTCTTCTTCCTGCTCCCCTTCCTCTTCCTGCTCCCCTTCCTCTTCCTCCTGTTCCCCTTCCTCTTCCTCTTCCTGCTCCCCTTCCTCTTCCTCTTCCTGCTCCCCTTCCTCTTCCTCTTGCTCCCCTTCCTCTTCCTGCTCCCCTTCCTCTTCCTGCTCCCCTTCCTCTTCCTCCTCCTGCTCCCCTTCCTCTTCCTGCTCCCCTTCCTCTTCTTCCTCCTGTTCCCCTTCCTCTTCTTCCTCCTGCTCCCCTTCCCCTTCCTCCTCCTGCTCCCCTTCCTCTTCCTCCTGCTCCCCTTCCTCTTCCTGCTCCCCTTCCTCTTCCTCCTGCTCCCCTTCCTCTTCCTCCTGCTCCCCTTCCTCTTCCTGCTCCCCTTCCTCTTCCTCCTGTTCCCCTTCCTCTTCTTCCTCCTGCTCCCCTTCCTCTTCTTCCTCCTGCTCCCCTTCCTCTTCCTCTTCCTCCTGTTCCCCTTCCTCTTCCTCCTCCTGCTCCCCTTCCTCTTCTTCCTCCTGCTCCTCTTCCTCTTCCTCCTGCTCCCCTTCCTCTTCCTGCTCCCCTTCCTCTTCCTCCTGTTCCCCTTCCTCTTCCTCTTCCTGCTCCCCTTCCTCTTCCTCCTGCTCCCCTTCCTCTTCCTCCTCCTGCTCCCCTTCCTCTTCCTCCTCCTGCTCCCCTTCCTCTTCCTCCTGCTCCCCTTCCTCTTCCTCCTGCTCCCCTTCCTCTTCTTCCTCCTGTTCCCCTTCCTCTTCTTCCTCCTGCTCCCCTTCCTCTTCTTCCTCCTGCTCCCCTTCCTCTTCCTCCTGCTCCCCTTCCTCCTCCTGCTCCCCTTCCTCTTCCTCCTGCTCCCCTTCCTCCTTCTGCTCCCCTTCCTCTTCCTCCTGCTCCCCTTCCTCTTCCTCCTGCTCCCCTTCCTCCTCCTGCTCCCCTTCCCCTTCTTCCTCCTGCTCCCCTTCCTCTTCCTCCTGCTCCCCTTCCTCTTCCTGCTCCCCTTCCTCTTCCTCCTGCTCCCCTTCCTCTTCCTCCTGCTCCCCTTCCTCTTCCTGCTCCCCTTCCTCTTCCTCCTGTTCCCCTTCCTCTTCTTCCTCCTGCTCCCCTTCCTCTTCCTCCTGCTCCCCTTCCTCTTCCTGCTCCCCTTCCTCTTCCTCCTGCTCCCCTTCCTCTTCTTCCTCCTGCTCCCCTTCCTCTTCTTCCTCCTGCTCCCCTTCCTCTTCTTCCTCCTGCTCCCCTTCCTCTTCCTCCTGCTCCCCTTCCTCTTCCTGCTCCCCTTCCTCTTCCTCCTGCTCCCCTTCCTCTTCCTCCTGCTCCCCTTCCTCCTCCTCCTGCTCCCCTTCCTCTTCTTCCTCCTGCTCCCCTTCCTCTTCCTCCTCCTGCTCCCCTTCCTCTTCCTCCTGCTCCTCTTCCTCTTCCTCCTCCTGCTCCCCTTCCTCTTCCTCCTGCTCCCCTTCCTCTTCCTCCTGCTCCCCTTCCTCTTCCTCCTGCTCCCCTTCCTCTTCCTCCTGCTCCCCTTCCTCCTTCTGCTCCCCTTCCTCTTCCTCCTGCTCCCCTTCCTCTTCCTCCTGCTCCCCTTCCTCTTCCTCCTGCTCCCCTTCCTCTTCCTCCTGCTCCCCTTCCTCTTCCTCCTGCTCCCCTTCCTCTTCCTCCTGCTCCCCTTCCTCTTCCTCCTGCTCCCCTTCCCCCTCCTCCTGCTCCTCTCCCCTCTTCTCCCTGTGTTGCTATGTAACCAAGGCTGGCCTCCAACTGTCCAATCGCTGAGTTTCTAGGAGTGTATCACCATGCCCTTTCTCTTTCGTTTTCCAAATTCAGCCTTAGGGATGAAATACACAGGTAAGAATTTGCTTCTAAAAACTTGTGGGGCTGGGGAGACAGCTCAGTGGAGGAAGTGTTCACTGCTCAGGCATGAGGACATGAATTCAAATGTGCACAACCCACATACAAAACCAGAGCCATATGCTTGTAACCCCAGCACTCCCCAGACATAGGTGGATCCCAGGGGGCTCACTGACCAGCCAGTCTAGGTGAAACTGCAAGCTCTGGGCTCAGTCTCAAAAAATAATGTGGAGAGCTTTTGAGAAGACATTCAGTATCCACCTCTGGTCCCCACAAATGTATGCATGGGTAAACACACTGCAAGTATATGCACACACACAAAAACAGCATGCACACACCAGAAATTTACATTTTTGGAAATCTCGGTGTGCTAAAACGGTGTTTGGAAGTATTTTGATTATCTAGGGTCTGGGGCATAAATGGCAGGGGTCTAATTTTCATTTTGCTCATCACTACCCTGAAGGGATCATCTCATTGAATTCCTAAATGCTATTATATCCTCAAAACTGGAGTCCTCATTCTCATTCTGATACATACTGGTAACATTTAAAGCTCCCAGTTTTGAGAATTTCCTGTAGCATTAATTGTCATCGCTTTATAAAGGCTGGTGTGATTATTCAAAGTACCATCTAATTTGAAGCCAACATCATTCACCCACTCGCATTACCACAAATGACATAGGATAGCACTGAGAGAGGAAAAGAGACCTCGCTGTTCCACAGCCAGCATGACCACAATGCTCCAGCAGTTATTTGCAGCAAACAGGCTTTTGTGGTCGATGCTCCGTGGATAATTTGCCGTGGAACTCTGACCTTTCAATTTGTAGTAGTGAAATGTAGCATCACATTCCCTAGGAGAAGGGCTTCTGGAAAGATCACAGGAAGTGGTCATAGCAAGCGCACGCCGTCTAGACAACACTTCATTCACACTCTGTACTATGCTTCTCATTGAACTGCTACAAGGACCCTAGGAAGTGGCTATTAAAACCCCCATTTTCTAACAAGAGTGGTGGGGCTTAGTTAGTGAACTGAACCAAGATCACAGGTAGCGCCTGCTCTCTTACCCTGGTATTTCTTACTCGAGTTTCAAGCTTAACCATTAATGCTAATGTTTCCCATTTAGGGAGTAGCAGGGCCAACCATGATTTAAATTCCATTCAGCAAATATTGTTAGTCTTGGCCACACTCCCAGAACTATAATGTGGTTGCTCTCTTCTAGGAATCTGTAGTGTGATTGGAAATAAATATCGGCAGTGACGCAGTATAGAGAATGCATCTCTAAGCTGGAGGTGACCAAGAGCCGAAATGCTTGCCCCAGAAAAAATGCAGAACTTCGATTCTTACTCATTTTGTTGACAAAATATCTGATTCAACAAAATGAACTATATGTAAGTAAAAATATATAATGCAGGAGAAACTATTAAGTAATCAGGGGTGAAAAACTATTTCAGAATTAAGAGACCGATGATGCAGGGCATAGTGGTAAGTGCTTGTAATCCCAGTTCTCGGGAGATGGACAGAAGAGGATCTGTTGTTCAGGACTAGCCTCAGCTATGTGGCAAGTTTGAGGTTAGCCTGGGCTACGTGAGATCCTGTCTCAGAAACAAATGACAAGAAAAGGAATTAAACAACCTCAAGATTCCGCTTCTCTGTGACGTTAACAAAGAATTATAAGCAAGGTCAGAAAACACCGTGTAATTAATGCCAAATAGCAGTGTAGAAAAATAGGGTGATGTGGTAAAATGGACCGTTAAATAATCAGATCCCTGGATTTTGGTCCCAAATGCTCTGTTTCTTGACTGTGTGGTCTTTAGCCAGTAACTCGGCCTTTCAGAGTCCAGCCTTCCAGGTGTGTGATATATTGGAGATGCAGTTTGATGCTGCAAGGCTGCCTCAGGTGAGACAGGCGGATAGGGCTTTGGGAATTCTAAAGCTGTAAAAAGAGTGTTTTGTCTTAGTGCCCTTGGCCTCAGCTATGGTTTGGTATAGCACAGATGTTCAATAAACGTTTGTTGAACCTCATGGCCAGGTGTATGTACCGAATAAACAGAGCTGGAGAGGTGGTTCGCCACCGTACCTTTGTGCCAGGGATGTGGCTCCCCCAGCCCTGCTCTGCCACCGTGTAGCGGGTCCCGTTTGCTCAGGTGGCTTCACTTTCTCTCTGCAGCTGCAGGTGACAGCTGGTGTACCCACCTGGGCTTCTCAGAGCCCCTGCGGGAATGATGAAGGCGAGTCTTTGGTGGAGGCCTTTAGTTAGGAGTGAAGATGAGCTGTCTCAGTGTTGAATGGAAAATGCCCAAAGGGTCCTACAGGAAAAGCAGAATAAAAGCAAACAAACAAAAAAAGAGTCACTTCAGAGAACAGTTTTGACATGCCGCCCTTTGCCCTCTACGCTGAGGTAGACAGCTGTGGTGGAAGGTGCGGCTTTCCTTGGCCGCTACTGCGCAGAAGTGAACAGGAAACTGTGGGAGTTGCCCATATTTGCCTCAAAATAAAATTCTCCACGTACTCAGTTATAGGTATTAAAACGACTGGACGGCTATTTGCTGGGGAAAACTTGGCTTCTTGGCTGTTGAATCAGTGTTAAAATGTTGGCCGGCTTTTCAGGTGGTCCAGGTGGGGCCAAAGCAGGCGCGGCCCCGTTGCTTCTACCTGCAAATCTAGAAGCTTGATATTTTTGGCATCTTTCATACATGGAGAATGATGTGAAATAGAAACTGAAAGAATGTCTCCCTATCAATTTAAAGTAAGGGTTTGGTGGATCAGAACTCCATGGGGGCCCCTCTATGCCTGAAAGAAAGCCTGGAGAAGCCAAAGCTGTAGACATGCATATGTTTGGTGAGTATGAAATAAGAGTAAACGAGAGTATTTGATAAGCTTAATATTTAGTGGTGTATCAAGCTATTATAAGCTGATGGCACAGAGAGATCCCAAGTCATCATTGAAATCTTTTGTGTTCGTTTTTGAGACAGAATCTGGTTTTAAACTTGCGATCCTCCAGCTCAATCCTCCCATGTGTTAGGGATTACAAGCATACACCAACTCCTATTTCTCAGTGAATTAGGGTTTTTGCTTGTTTGAGGTGGGGGTCTTGTGTATTCCTAGCCTGGCCTCGAACTCAATATGTCGGCAAAGATGATGTTGAACTTCCGTCCTCCTGCTCATACTTCTCAAGTGTTGAGATGACAGGAGAAAACCACCACGCCCCATTTATTCGGGGCTTCATGCATGCATGCATGCATGCTGGACAAGGACTCTACCAACGGAGCTCCATCCTCAGCTCCAGCGAACCTTGTTACGCCAGAAATACAATGGCCTCTGATTCTGCCCCAGTGGGAAGAAAAACACTGGTCCCATTTAGACTGATCCTTCCTCTTTCCCTTTATCTGGACGTTAGCAGGGTAGAGAGAGGCAGCACATCGCTGTAAATAAGGTAGAATATTGATGAGGAGAGAGGCATGTGGATAAAGAGCACAGAATTTGTGCCAGGAAAACTTATCAGAAAGCTGGGGAGCTACCTGGAGAGATAAAGGCTCAGAAGTTGGTCAGCAGAAGCAGGTATTTGCAGAGCCTCAATAAAATACAGCTGTAAATATGCATATTGAAAGGAAAGAGGACAATTACATAGGCAGAAATTGCATTCTGTCCAGCTAATTTGATGGGGAAGAATGCTAGCGAGGATAGGCAGGAGACCAGACTCAGAGAAGGGGGTGAGCAGAACTGCGTGCCCTCGAAGGCAACGGACATACAGGACTCCTACCAGCACAAATGTCCACCAACCTCCCAGTGGCAGAGACTTACAACAACACAGATCGTTTTTATACTTTATATTAACAGAGTCTGTTCACTTTGGGCTAAACTTATTTTGAGAGATTCATCAGTAGTTTTGGCTTTGGGGTTAGCTGTAGATCTGTATGATATTCCGCTGTGTGTCAATATTGAAATTTCTTTAGCCATTTCATTAACAGAGTCATTTGGGTAGCTTCTAACCCTCTTAGTCCGTCCCCCTCACCCCCGTGTGTGTGTGTGTGTGTGTGTGTGTGTGTGTGTGTGTGTGTGTGTGTGTACATACCTGTATATGGAGCCCAAAGAGCAATGTCAGGTGTCTTTCTCAGTACCTCCCCACTTTAGTGTTGGGGACAGAATTGCTTGCTGAACCTAGAGCTAGCCAGTCTGCCAGCAAGCCCCAGGGATATTCCTGTCTCCACTTCGGCAGTGCTGGGATGATGGGCACTCACCATAGTGCCCAGCTTTTCATAGGTGCTGAGGATGGAACTCAGTCTTCGTGCTTATGTGGCAAGCACATTACCAACTGAACCATATCCCAAGCCAGCTTTTGGCTTTTGTCTATGGCAAGTACTGTGCCTGTGCATGTTGTAACACTTGAATTTGGTAAACATGCACGTTTCTTTTTTGTTTGGTGGGACGTTTGTTTATTTGTTTGAGACTGTCTCTTACAGCCCAGGCTGGACTTAATACGTAGCAGGGGATGACCTTGAAGTCATGGGACTACAGACAGGCACCACAACACCAGATACCATAGTTTCTTTTGAGTGTGTACCTGGGATGGATTTGCTGCGTCAGAGGTTGTATTCATGTTCAGGAGTAGTAGTAACTACCGGCTTCCCACAGTGGTTCTGTGGGTTTAATCCTCCTCCAGGAATGTGTAGAAACCCAAGTTCTCAACAATCTCTGCCAATAGTTAGTAGCATTTTTCATCATTTCATCTTCGTATGGTTTCACTGTGGCTTTAATGTTTGCTTTACAGATTTAACGACTCCCATGGCCTCACTCACTTTTGGGAAGAAGAAGTTCTTAGCGCGTTAATAAAGTCGATTTTATTCTATTGTTTCTTTTGTGGTTAGTTTGTTTTTCTGTCTTGTCTTTAAGGACAGTTTGCCCCAAGGTCCTGGGAGGGGCCCGCAGATTTGCTTCTAAAGGCAAGCCACCAGAGGCTGGCTTTTGTATGTAGCCTCAAGCAGTGCTTTTTTCTCCATTCACCTTTCCTGCTGAGTTACAGGGTCATTTTCTTGTAAGTCATGTGATGGTAGATACGCTGGGCTACTTTTGGCCCTCCCTCTTCCATTGGACACACTGTCCCGGGACCCACAGCACTCATTCTTGATGACCAGGAGCTTTAGAATGATAGCTTTTCCTCCCCTGCTGTCCTTCTCCAACACCTTGACTCTTCTAGCTCTTCATAGTTCCCTGTTAATCTGAGAAAGTTTTGTCAGTATCTGGAAAGACATGAACCAAAGGCATCTTGGGTTTGCTTAGGGCTGCCTGGAAGCATGCGCTCATACGGAAGTGCCAACCAGATACTCCTCACATAACAGTGTGTGGTCTTTATTTGACTCTCTCTTTTTCTCAGTAAGATCATATACTTCTCTGATTTCTAATAATTGTTTTGCTTTGTTTTTCAAGACAGGATTTCTCTGTGTAGCCCTAACTGTCCTGGAACTCACTCTGTAGACCAGGCTGGCCTCGAACTCACAGAGATCCACCTGCTTCTGACTCCCGAGTGCTGGGATTAAAGGTGTGTGCTACCATCGCTAGGCTCTAATACATTTCCAAGTATTTGAGTCTCAATTCCATTGTATGTTTTATTTTTTATGTATTTCTTACCAGTTTATACAAATATGCCAAACTTGTGGAAATTTTGTGTAGAGATACGATCTTATTGTCTCCAAATGACAATATTATTTCTTGCTTTCTACTCACCGCTTTCTTTTTTGTCCTCTGTTCCCCCAACCCCTGTAGACCTCAAGGTTAGTGTTATATAGAAGTAGTAATGGGCTGGAAAGATGGCTTAGCGGTTAAGAGCACTGGCTGCTCTTCCAGAGGACCCGGGTTCAATTCCCAGTACTGACATAGTAGCTCACAACTGTCTGTAACTTCAGTTTCAGGGGATCTCACACCAAGGCACATAAAATAAAATAATAAATAATTTTAAAAAAACGGTAATCTAGACCCCATCCCCCAAGCTGAAGGGGAGTTTTCCTTGTTCTGCCTTTGATATTATGTGTATTTTGTAGCTATCCTTTACCACGTTAAGGATAAACGTCTGGTCTGGGAGCTAACAGGAAAGTGTTCTTATCAGGAGCCAAAGTTGGATTTCTCACGTGTTTCTCTGTTGGGGATGCCTGAAAGATTTTCTTCCTCTTCTTATTCTTGAGATGAACGGTTGGATTTCTGAATTGCAGACCATCTTGGCGTACAGAGGCTGAATCACACTCTCTTTGCTTTCTTAATACTTTGTTAGGACATTTCAGAAGTGTCTCTGAGAGAAGAGAGAAATGGAGTTTTCTTTCTTATAATGCTTATTCCAGTTTTTAAATTGCATTGGGTTATTTTAATATTTTGAAAATGTCTAAGAGGCTTTAATCTT